GGCTGTAGTAGCTAGTAGGGCAGGGACCTCATAAGTACTCCCTTCAGGGCCAGAAAACCCGGTGCCCCATTTCTCTCACCCACAAAACAGAGACTAGGCAGGGACTGTCCTAGTGCTGTCCCACTCTTCCTGAGTCACCATGAGCTGTGGGCTCCAATGCTGGGTGGTCCTTTGCCTCCTGGGGACAGGTGAGTCCTGGCTCAGGTGGACATCCCCACCCTGACACGTCTACCTTTTCCATAAAGCCTCCTTGTGAGAATGTCCCCTCCGCTCACTTTGCTTTCTTGTCCCCACAGGCTCCATGGACACAGGGATTACCCAGACACCAAAGTTCCTGGTCACAAGCATGGGGAACAAGAGGTCTTTGAGGTGTGAACAGAGTCTGGGACACAATGCCATGTACTGGTATAAACAGGTCCCGGAGAGGCCTCCAGAGCTCATGTTTCTGTACAGCTACAAGGAGCTCTCTGCAAATGAGACTGTCCCGAGTCGTTTCTCCCCAGAGAACCCCGATAGCTCCCACCTGAACCTCCACATGGACGCCCTGGAGCCTGGTGACTCGGCTGTGTACCTCTGTGCCAGCAGCAAAGACACAGCCCTGCAGAGCCACCTCCCACCCGTGCACAAATCCACATGGTCCCTCCTCTCCCCCAGCTCCCAGCAGCCCTTTCCTGCCCAGAAAAGGAAGTCAGGTTGGGTTTGCAGGTGCAGCTGTGGAAAGACAGACTGTGTCAGAAAGGAAACTCCCAAGGGGACACTGAGGGCAGGAGTGGCCAGCATGCTGGTCAACCTTTAGTGACATCACAGGGTGTGAGTGTGGGCTCCAAGTTCACCCTCGGCCAGGGCTGCCCCAGGGAGCACAGCTCTGGAGAGAATTCCTGGGAGGTGAGGGAGTGGACAGGTGGCCTTTAGGGAGTGAGCACATGACTCCCTCCATGTGCAACGTGTGGTGTGGTTGGTTGTCATCAGGGGATCCCGACTCCTGCCAGTACCATGTGTCACCGAGCAGAACTGCCCCATGGGACGTTCCTGGATGTACGCTGAGCAAAGGCAGGTCACCAGGTCTTTCTTCTGCAGTACCCCTGGGCGGGTTCAAACTACCAACCTTTAGATTAGCAGCAGAGCACAAATCACCTGAACTACCATGGTTAATACTCGAGTATGTCTGCTGTTGGGGGCTCTGGTAGCACAGTGCCTAAGGCATTTGAGTGCTAACCAGAAGTCTGGCGGTTCAAACCCACCTGCCCCTCCTCAGAGAAGGTTGGGCAATCTATTTCCGTAGTGATACTGCCTCAGAAACCCAAGGAGGGGTCCCTATGAGTCAAAATCAACTTGACCGCTGGGAGATTTTTGTGCATCTGCTCTTAAGGAGCTCTGGTGGCATGGTGACTAAGCTGTTATCAGAAAGTTGGCAGTTAGAAAGCACCAGCTGCTTCTTGGGGCAAAGATGAGGCAGTCTGCCTCTGTCAAGATCTATGGCCTTGGAAACCCAATGGGGGCAGTTCTACCCTGTCCTGTAGGGTCACTAGGAATCAGAACAACCTGACGTCTGTGGCTTCAGGTTTATTTCTCCTCTTTATCCACTTTGGTTTTGGTTTGTTGGATGGTCTTTGTTCATTTAAGGAAAAAGAAAAAAAGAATCGCTTTAACTAGGGGCATGGGGTGCTGGAGTGAGTGTGCAGTGCGCCCCCAGTGGTGATCTGCGGCAGGACAGGGAGCATCCTGCAGGCGTCGTGGTCAGTGAGGGGCATTTTGGTGACAAAACGAATCAGAACCGAGGGGTGGTCAGGGGCCCCACCTGAAGGCCAGCAGGAGAAGCCGAGAGCAGGGAGGACCTCAGCCGCAAACCACATGGGGGCATGCAGGACACAAACAAGCTCATACACGAGACTAGTTTCCCGGGGTTCAGAACGACCCCAGTGACCTTGAAGATCTGCGGCTGGGGAGGAGGATGAGGTTCAGGAAGAAGAGACTGGATCTCCCCACAGAAGCCCCGAGGAGCTCAAGCAGGGAACAGGGAACATCGGAGACAGACCATCCCAGTCCTAACACCCGAATCCTTCTGTTCATGTCCTTTCTCGCAGCAACAAACCAACAGCCAAGCCTGCTGCTGGCTCCCAGCGCCCCTCGAGGACAGAGCAGAAGTGCCCCAGAGGGTGTGTAAGGCCGTGATCTTCACGGGAGCAGCTCACAAGGTCCTTTCTCCGTGGAGCAGCTGGTAGGTTCCAATCGGCCACCGAAGGAGCGGGAACCACTGTGCCACTAGTCCTCCTTAGAGATGATAACCAGGCGGACTCCGACCACGGGAACAATGCAGACCAAAGCCCCCACCCTGCACACCAGAGCTCCAGGGGGCTGTG